GGCTCGGCGCGGCCGCCGCGGGGGGCTGCTGGGGACAAGCCCGGTCATAGCTCTGCACTCCCTCCGAAGTGAGCTCCATCAGTCGTATCCTGCGGAGCAAGTTTGGGAAAGGTGAGGAAGAGGAAGCTGAGCTGGAAAGGAAGGAGGTGGAGGAAGGCGACAAGAAGGCCAAGCACAGCATTGACGGCATCCTCAGCGAAAGAGGTAAACTCCCATTTCCCCTGCTCTCTGTGGAGTCCTGGGACCGGCCAGCACCAGCCCCGGTTGCTGGTGGGTGTCGCTCCCCTCCTCCCAGTTGTCCCCCTGGGGCCAGTGCAGCGGGAGGTGTAGGGCGAGGAGCTAGCCCCCACGGGGTGGCTGCCGCGTCCCATCCCGTCCCATTCCCCCCGCGGTATGACCCTGCAGTGTGTGGGAATGGCCCAGAGGTGGGGGCAAAGATGGAGGTAGCCACTGGTTTGGGTTCCAATAGCAGGGACGGGGGCCATGGTCGCACTGGGGCTGCTTTCCCAGCCCAAGCCGAGCAAAAGGCCGCAGCTGCACAGAAGGGGCGGTTGTAGCCAAAGGCTGCAGCGCCTCAAGTCTCTGCAGCTGTGGGCAGGGCAGGGAGCTGCTTCATTTCTTCGCCTCTGAGAACTGCTGGGAAAAGCTTGTGTTGATGGTGGGCCAGGGGCTGTGAGGAGGTTGCAACCTGAACAAGGCGGAGGTGAAGAGCTGCTCCGGGGGGACAGCCGCTGCCCCTGCTGCAGTTGTGCCCGGCAACCCGGCTGGGCCAGAGCGGAGGGGCAGGCGAGGGCCTGGCTGGGCGGCCTGTGCATGGAAGTCGCTGCCCAGCACATGCACAGGCACTGGAGAAGGCGAGACAAAAGTACCAAATGAGCTGGTCAAACATTTGTACAACTTTTCCAGCTTTTACAAAGAAGGCCTTCTATACACAATCTACACTTGGAGATGAACTTGGAAAACAAAGAGGGGGGAGTCCATTGAAACTCACACTTTGGCTTTGCACAGACAAAGCTTCAGCTAGCAGCAGCTTGATGTGAACAAAAGAAGGCAACCTTTTTATAATTCAAGGAGAAAAGAAGAGAAAACAGCCCCACAAAAGGCTGAGAAAAGACATTATGGGCTTGCAATGAGGGATGAATTATTCAATGAGCCTCTAAATAGCTGATGCTCCACGCAGTTTTATGGACTCTCCACCATGGAAAAAATAGCTGTTTTTACCTAGAAAATGTTTCTAGCATTTCTAGACATCTAGAGATGCTGAGTGCCATTCAAGAAGGACAACCGAAACCTGTTTAACAGTAGGATATCTCCTTGTGGTGTAGATACAAACCCGACAGCACTCCCAAAATTTAGTTTTCAATTCTGTTGTCAAAGCTTTCAGGAAAGCTTCATCTTGTGCCTGGCTGCATTTGTGTGGATGTGTATAATACAAACACAAAGTAAGAGGTTTAAGGCCAGAAGGCACAGTTTTATTGCCCAGTTTGCTGCCCCTGTATCATGGGTGCAGAGTTTCCTCCAGTGTCTCCTTCAACAGAGGATTGTTCTGAAAGGGATGAGACAGCTAAACTCAGTGCCCTAGTTGTTAAAATAACTAGCTTTTCTGCCTTCCTGAATTTCTCAACAGAGATTAGAAACAGAAGATAGGAAGCCTTGATAATATCCCTGCTTTATGGAACAAAGAGTAATTAATAGAGACAGCAAGAGAAGAAATATTATTATCAATATAACCAATCCCTCTACTTCTCTTTGAAACAGTCTTTCTGTTCTTTGACTCTCTGCTCCTTAAAGCAGGGCTCCTGATCTACCATAAATCGGTGTCTGGGCACATGGCTGCTGCCCTCCAGCCTAGGGGAGCCCCAAGACTCTTGCAGGAAAAGCACTGGGGCTGACAGTGCCTGGCTGCAAAGAGGGGCTTGCTCCTACCCTCCAGTGCTGTTGTATGAGGAGGCCAAGTTCTGCCCTCTGATGTACCCTCTCCTTCACTTTCTGCCGACCTGAGTGTTCTACTTCACTTCCTCCAAACAGTGGCAAAATTCCCCTTGACTCAGTAGGGTACTGCAGCCCTGTCCTGTCCTTGTGCACACAGGTTTTTGCTGGATGAGTGTGGCCGGGCAGTTCTGTGTGAACGGCAGCTTGATAATCCCGTCACTGTTCTGTGACAGTGCCTGGGAAGGTTTGGCAGTTGGAGGGAGAGCGTGCTCTGCCCTGCAGCAGTGCCTGCTCCCTCTCTCTGACTAGCAAGCTGTTGCTTAATCTTATTACTGGAGCGGCCGGGATGTTGCAGTGTGAGAGAACTGCTCAAGAAAGGGTTTGTTACCATACGCACACCTTACGTATAGTGTGACACTGTAGGGACAACACACCAGCGAGTTCATTACAAGAAAAAAATAACCATAAAATAAGTCCACCACTGCTCTTTGTATCTGGCCAACAAAAAAGGTTCTGCTTCAACTCCCATTGCCAGCAGAGGAGCTTTGATTTCACTCCATCTATAAAAATCATCGGATCAGATCCCGGTCTCTTACTGAAATAACTGGCAGCGCTCCTGAGGATTTTGATGCTGCAGGATCGTATTTGCCATTGCCCACCAGCCTGGTTGCAAGGCCTGGTGTGGCAGAGGGTGCCTGCTGACAAGTGGTCTCAGATACCCTCTCTGACACTTGGGTTGCTTGGAGTATGTCTGAAGGTTATCCTGGCAGTGCACAGCAAAACCCTCGTGTGGTAGCTCCCTGCGGAGTGCTCTCCATGGGAGTACTCCATATTACAGAGTGAAAAATTGCAGCACTATGAGTAATTTTTATAGCTCTGGTCTTAGGGGTGTGAGGTATTCCAGTAGCAAGAGCGTGGGTGCAGGGAGATGGAAGGGAAGGCTCTGGGATAGGTCATAGGCCCGGGGCTGAGTGCAGAGTGGGGAATTGATCTCCTGCTCAGGAGCATGCATCTAGTGCTGGACATTTACTGGAGGTGCCCGAAATCCTCTCCTCATCATGGGCATTTTAGTGGCATTTTTTTCAAGGGCAATCCAAACTACAATTGTAGTTTTAATGGTGGCTAATTCAAGATTTGGGATTTGGGGAGTACTTCCAGCAGAGTGGGATTAGAGAGAAGAGAAACATGGTATTTTTAAAAAATGTGTGATAGAAACAGTGCATCATTTCTCCCATCACTTCTGTAAGGGTAGGTAAACTTCCACATGCCCTGCTGTGGTTCTGCTTCAGCCTCTGTTCACGAACACTTGAATACGATTCTCTCACTGGCGTTTATGGATGCCACGTGTGCAGCCTGCTTTGCTGTGTTTCGGCATTTCTGTCAGTGTCATCCTCTACCCTGATTTTGGATATATATTTAAAGAAAACGTTGACTGTCACAGTGCGTATCAGGAAGCTTATAATTCTATAATAGCATATCTGTATTTCTACATGCGTGATAATTTTTTCTTAAAGGCATAAGCCATAAATAAAGAACATGAGAGAGAAACTTTTGTGCCTTTATATGGCACATCAGGGCATATTTTTAGCACAACCGCTACAGAAGAGGGAGTTGCTTGTACCTTTAGCGAGAGTTATGCACAGCATGGTTTGCTGACTAATCTGATAACTCCCCCCTTCATAAGATAGCTGTTGTTTTCTGGCAGAAACCAGTGGCTTTCAGCACTCAAACGATGGGGCGTAGAGCTGGTCCTTGGGCCCGCTGCGAACTGGCGGTGCTGGCTGGGGCTGGGGCCGGGACCCCCCTGCTGGCCTCAAAGGGGGCCTCTGTTCCCGGCCAGCGGAATTGGCCCCCGGGCCCTGTCCTGGCGGATCCTCCCCCAGTCATGTGCACCCGTCCAAAAAAGGGCTCTACTCATCCCAAGCCTCTACCCTTGGCTGTACTGAGAGCAATTCAGGCTACAGCAGACTAAATTGCCTGCTTTATTTCCTTCTTACTTTCATCTTGGACCAAACCCTTCCCCCCTCTCCCTCCCCTTCCTCTTTTCTTTTTTTTTCTGTGTGCCTGAGGCTCACATTAATACAATTTCAGCACCACCCCTATTTTTGTGTGTGTATGTGGGGAGTTTGAAGGGAGGAAAAAAAAAAGGACCTTAGCACAAAAGCCCTGCTCAGCAGCTAGAAAGTTCAAGCTGCTGCTGCTTCTCTAGCTGTGTGATGCTTTTCCTGTTTGTGAGTTTTGGGAAACATTTTTGCTTTGTACTGTAATGGAATTAGAGGACAGATGCTGACTGTAAATGGGACACGCGACTACCAGCCCCTAGCTTAAATATTTAGATGCAATGTTACAATTACTGACTTGATGCACAGGCTTTGAAGTGGTGGCACATGATCTGAAGGGTAGCTTGGGCTAGTTGGGCTTGCAGATGTTTTGATTAGGGTTGGTCAGCATTATGCAGCCAGTTATTTTTAGGTTGTTAAACTAATGAAGGCAGTTTATTAAGGGACAGGATTAACATGCAGGCACCAGATACCAGTTTGAGTCATCCTATTCATTGCTGCATTGTAGACTGTCGGGTTAGTGGCCAAAGCATGGGACAAGGCAGATGCTGAGTTAGATTTTGGTTGTGATTTTCTGATGCAGATCTCGTGATTTTGTTCCAGTGCCCCATACCAGGGCGCAGTGGTAAGAGGACTTACTCACCGTATGAAATACTGTTGTGTCTTACGGCTGAGAAGCACGATGTGTTCCCCTGCTTGATGTTCCTGATAAAGATCCACTTACTGAAAGAAACGCGATGACTGTAGCTTCAGGCAACTATCTTCTTGAGTTTGGAATTTCATGTGGTACTTTACATATTTGGTCACTAGCAGGTCTAAGAAATCAGCTTGTATAACTTGAACAGAATTTTGTTTCTCAGGCTCTTAGAGCTGACAAGAAAATAGTGCTTAATTAAGAAACACTCCTTAGTGCCTCCAGGATTTGGCTCAAGGCAGACAGTGCTAACAGAATTTTCTGTCTGTATTTTTCCCCTTTCCTCGTATCTCGATAGTGTGTGAGAGTCAGTCCTGGACAGAAAAGCCAGCTGTTGCACAAGTGTAAATTGGTGATGCCACACAAACCCAATATGGCTTCGTTTCTTCTGCCTGACCTGTTAGTCGCTGTGGGGCTCTGGGCCAAGCTTCTCCTTCCAAATCATTATTCTGAGCTAATAATAATAACTGACGACCTCAACGATCAGTAACGACCTCACCATCAAGCAAGAACATGAT